ATGATCCTTGAGGTCCCTTCCAACCCGGGTGATTCTGTGATTCTGTGTGTGATTCTGTGACCTAAAGTTTCCTGTAACATATAGTTTAAATACTTTCTTCAGTCATCAGGTTTTTGTTCCAGTTTTGTTTTAAGTTTGTACTTTTTTTTTTAGGTGATTTTTTATCTTTTAGAAAACAAGGCATGGTATAAGCCCTACATTCGTGCTGCAATTATAGCTCTGGCTGTACCCCTGAGTCTTTGGCATCTCGCATGGTCTTTTGCTTTTCCAGGCCCTTTCCTGCTTGAAGATGACAGCTCTGAGCTGAAGGTTGAGAGAGAAGAGCTTTTAGTTGTTGCCTTTAAGTGGAGATGGATACTCAGCTCATAGAGTTTTTCTTCTCTGTGCCTTTACAGTCAAAGTTGTCAAGGTTTTTCAGCTGGCAAGAGGTGGGAGTACTCATGGTTATCAAGACCATGAGGTGTTGAGAAGCTGCTCTTGCTTCTTTGTCAGCAGCCATCTCTTGGACTAAGCGTGTGTGTGTTTTGATGTTTGTTGGCTTTTTTTGTGTTAATTAATATTGTTCTTACTTCTCAGGTCCTAAACTTCCTTTCCTCTAGGTGCTTTGGTAGATCACAGCAGAAGCTTTATCCTGGCTCATAAAATTACCATTAAGAGATGAAGTATTTGTAGATGATATTAAATGTCTATAAAATAGATTTAGTTTGAAATTGAGGTAAGTCTCTAGCTATGTTGTAAGCCTTGGCAGAAGCTCATCTTATAGCTTCCCTTATTTCTAGCTTTTAAAATTCTTATGTTTATAAGACAGGGTTTGTAAGAACTGTTCAGTTGTGTTGTGGTTTAACTTGTCAGGTGGTTAAGCACCACACCCTCGTTTGCTCACTTCCCCCCCTCCCAGTGGGATGGGGGAGAGAATGGAAAATACCAAAGTAGAACTTGTGGGTTGAGATAAAACTACTAAGATAGAGAAAAAGGAAGAGGGAAAAGAAAAGATAATAGTTAAAACAAATATATATATATACATCTGTATTATGTATGTAACAATTGATGCACAAGCAATTGTTTGCCACCCACCAACTGATGCCTAGCTAGCCCCTGAGCAGCAGAAGAGAGAGAAATGAACTCCCACGCCCTTCAAAACTTTCCTTCTACATGATGTCATATGATATGGAACATCCCTTTAGCCAATTCAAGTTAGCTATCCTGATTCTGTCCCATCCCTTGGGCTCCCGCAGCCACTCGCTGGTAGGAGCTGAGAAACTGGAATGGCTCTGTACAACACTGCTTAGCAACAACTAGAAACATTGGTGAGTTATCAACATTGTTTTTTTTCCTAAAACCAAAACATAGCATCATATTGGACACTATGAAGAAAAACAACTCTCTCAGCTGAAACTAAGACACTCTGTTATGGTTTCAATTATTAATAAGTAATGTCTCTTCAAGGATTACTATGGAATTACATTCCCCGCTCCTGCAACCTTGACAGGCAGAGATGGGAGCCTTGCTAACAACCCATACTCAGGTGAGTGCTATTTAAAGGCAAGGATGATAAATTAGATGTGTTTGTTTCTAGATGCAGGTAATCCTTTTGTTACTGAAAGAACAACCATTTTTCCTTCTGTAAGCAATTAAACTCACCAATCCAAAATAGGCAAATAAAAGCAAGCATCTCCTTCTCAACTTTGACATTATTTTTTCTTTGTGGTTTTGGTTGGTAATTCATACATGACCTCTTCTGGGATAAAACTGGGTAGTCTTCCAATGAAAAAGTACAAAATTGTTAAAAATGTAAATGGCAAGGTCATCTTGTGCCCTTCCCAAGCACATACAAGTGCTTGGAAAATACCCAATTGTTTAATCAGTCTTTTCCTTGAAGCTGGCTTTCTTTCCTTTTGTTTTTTGGCAATGGAATAGACCCTTTCAGAGCTCCCTCAGCAGCTCCCCGTGCTTGGTTATTGCTATTTTAGCACTTGTATGTTCCTAACAGGAGCTGCCTCTAACAGGCTCACCCCTGCCCTCCTCAAGTCTAATTGACTTAATTCTCAAAAGCATATGGTCTAAGAAGCCCTTCCTCACTCTTGCTCTTCTCTTGTTCTTCAGTTTTCAGTGTGCAAAGATGAGATTAATGCTATACAGCATATTCAGAAAGTGGTTTTCTTCCACTGCCATCTGATTATAGCTTAAAACTGTAGCCATAGGTATTAGGTGGTATAATTCCTATAATGCCGCTATTAAATGTTGTCATGTTTCTTGGCAACCAACAAAGAAGAATACTGGTTAGGAATGAGATAGATATCATATGTCACTTCCTTACAGAAACAGAACAGAAACAAACGCATGAACGTGCTGCTCTGTAGGCTGTCAGTAAATGCAAGTGTTCTGGACTTTTCTGCTTCATAGTCACTTCTTTTGGGAGGCTGATTTTAGGTCAATAACTAAATTTATTTTCCTACTTCTTTAGTAAGGTGATACACGATGCAAGTGTTGTTTTACTGGCCTTCAGCTAATGTCTCCAGAACTTTGGTGTGAGGAATTGGACATCTAACTGGTCATGCTTCAAAAAATAAACATTGACAAAAATGCCCATCACTGCCTGTAAATCCTAACTTGCTCTCAGACCATGATGCTTGGCTAATCAGTTTAACCTCCAGGAGAGTTACACTTTAACCCAACAACCGTTTTGCACTTTGGCTATTTACCATAGTTCTGCTTTTTAGCATATGTTATTGCAATAATCTGATAGTAATAAACAATGTACTTGAGATAGATAAGTATTAGTGTCTCTGTTTTATCAGTAGATTAGCCATGGTACAGAGTTCTGTGCCACAAACAGGCAATGTCCCTGTGGCTGTCAGGAATAGAGACCGAGAGTTCTTCCCATGAAAACCTGCAGCCTTTCAACTATAGGTTTTGCTCTCTTTTTTTTTTTTTTTTTTTTTTAGCTGTTTATTTGTACTCAGAAGATCCTTGTAGAGAAGCTTTGATCACTTTTCTTCAGTTCTTTCCTTTGTAGGTGATGTAACAAAATTTGGCCGTGGTGATTCTACCTCCCCTGCTCCTGCTACCACTCTAGCCCAGCCACAGCAGAACCAGACACAGACTCACCATACGACTCAGCAGCCCTTCCTCAACCCAACCCTGCCACCGGGGTACAGCTACACTGGGTTACCTTACTATGCTGGTGTGCCAGGCATACCCAGTGCATTCCAGTATGGGCCAACCATGTTTGTAAGTGTGACAGCCTCAACTGTAGTAACCCTCCCTTGATGACTGTTTTTTTCTCTCCCGCAAAACCCAGGTCTTGCTCATCCTGCAAGAGATTCCCCCCCCCCCCCCCAAAAAAAAAAGTTGTGCAAGCATGAGAAGATAACTGTTGTCCCTTCTCCAAGAAAAGAGGAAATTTGGAAAGCCAGAAGTCATGGGTGTATGTTACTGTAAATAGTAGGTAGCTACAGCTCATGGATCTGTAGTGTTCCTGAAAACCCTTAGCAGCCTCTGAAGAGACAAAGGGAGACTCAAAGCTGAATCAGCAAGCTGAGAGTGCCTAGGAAATCCTTTGGAGGAAGGATACCCCAGCCCAGTAGTCTCAGGAAGGAGAAAGTTACTTGGGAAAAGGTGATACTTCAGGCAGAAGGATAGATTAGTATTTTAAGACTAAGTTTTACGAAACAACCTCAGGCAGGAGCTGGTTGGTGTTTCATTTGATTCTGGAGCATGCTGTAGTTATCCCTTTTTGGCTTATGGGTAAGAATTTTCTGCCTGCAGTCAATTTTATTGCATGTATGAGAGAAATGTGCAGCCTATTCTGAGACACAGTTGCACTGTAATGGGAAGAAAGTCCATATGATGCAGGACCAGGGGCAGCTGTAGCAGGAAACTTGTGGCTTGCACAGAGCTGCTAAAACAAGTTAGTACTTGAAGTGTGAACACTGCCTCCCACGTGATCCCAGTGCTCCCAGATCCAAATTACATTTCCCATGTGAGCTGGAGGTGCCTTCCCCACTAGATGACAGAAAGAAGCTTGCTTTTTGTTTGCTGCTCCCCAGCTAACAGCACCTTTTGTTCCCTTTCTCCTTTGTCCAGGTACCTCCAGCACCTGCTAAACAGCACGGAGTCAATTTGAACACTGCCTCCACTCCTTTCCATCAAGCAAGTAGCTATGGGCAGCATGGCTACGGAGCAGGTATGCTTATCACTGCACTGTTCACTGGAGCATCTACAGAGCTACTTGCACACTGTAACACATTGTCTTGTACACACCAGCAGGCTATGATGACTTAACGCAGGGAACAGCAGCTGGAGATTACAGCAAGGGAGGCTACAGTGGGTCATCTCAAGCACAAAGCAAATCTGCTGGCACTGGACCTGGGAAAGGTAATACATGAGACTTGAGGTTACTTTTGAGTGGGATTTAGTAGGGCAAACTACCAGTATTGCCAGTGCTTTGCAGTCAACACAGCAACCAGAGAAACATGCTTAAAATCAAAAATTTCTTATCAGGCAAAGATCTCTGTGAAGAGCAGTTTATTCATTATTGCAATAATGGGCGCACACCCCCTGCTGACAAGGGAGAAATTGTGCAACTAGTCAGTGAAATCCATTCCGTTATATACCCTGGGTCCAACACAGGTAATTCCTTTCCTGGCACTCATCAGTTGAGTGTCTCAAGCTCACAGTCTTCCAACGCTGTTGCTACATTACACTTCCATACAACGTCTGTTACCAGCCTATTGTTTTTAGGTATGTTCTGTGCTTTTCTATGGCGATAGGAGGACAATGTTTCAAAAAATTAGCACATTTGTTCTGTCCTGTGCTAGGCTCTCCCCTACCCTATATAGAATCATAGAATCATAGAATTGCAAGGTTGGAAACGACCTGCAAGATCATCTAGTCCAACCACCCTCCCATTGCTATCAGTACCACAAGCACTAAACCACATCTCGTAGCTCCTCACCCAGGCGCCTCTTGAACGCTACCAGGGAGGGTGACTCCACCACCTCCCTGTGCAGCCATTCCAGTGCCTGACCACCCTTTGAGAGAAAAAGTTTCTCCTAATATCCAACCTAAACCTCCTCTGGTACAACTTCTGGCTGTTTCCTTGGGTCCTACTATTTGCCTGGGAGAAGAGGCCAGACCCTTTTGCACCACAACCTCCCTTCAGGAAGTTGTACAGTGCAATGAGGTCTCCCCTGAGCCTCCTCTTCTCCACACTGAACAATCCCAGCTCCCTCAGCCGCTCCTCATAAGACTTGTGCTCCAGACCCCTCACCAGTTTCATTGCCCTTCTCTGCACACGTTCCAGGGCCTCAATGTCTTTCTTGTAGTGAGGGCCCAAAACTGAACACAATACTTGAGGTGCAGCCTCACCAGTGCTGAGTACAGGGGGACGATTACCTCCCAATATAATTACCTTACCTATTGCCTGTGCCATTTCTACCCAGGTCAGAATGCCCCAGTCTCAACTTTACTCTGTTCGGCAGCTTTCTTTGTGAAAAACAACTTATCCTATGCTACATACAGAAATACTGGAAATGTCCACTGCAAAAACACAGTCTACCTCTCACAACAGGATACAGATCCAAGCTGTTTCTCCACCTCCTGTGTACAAAATGCTTTTTTGTTTTTTAATGGCCCAAGTTATTCCTTCTAAATCTAGTGGCTGAACTTCACATAAGGATTTGTGTGGTTGATGTGCAGCTTTATCTCCAGTTACCACATAATTGAGGTCTTTTTCCTGCCAAAGATGTCTTTGGTGAAGAATAAATGGTCTTGTAGTGTCATTGAAGTCTAAGATGCTGGATGCTACTGCTGAAATGGTCCTCTACCAATTGCTGACTGGATTTTGAGTTTGCTGGTAGGCATCTGAGTTAGCTGTGTATTCAGAGTGAGCAGGGCAGTTCACACATCTCTGGGCTGTTGTTTCAGCTGCTCTCTATATGCTCTGTAACTTATTGCATTGTTTCATACCTGGAAATGTTTCCTCTGTAACTGTAAAAGATAAGGGATGTACATAGCTTATGAAAGCTTTATTCTGCACATGCTGGTTAGACCTGAGAAATGTATACTGAACTGCTTAGCACTAACTAGTTCATCTTTGAGCTTAAGCAAATACCAAGCATTTACCATGCATCTGAAACACCAACTGGAGTGTTCAGTATGTAAGTCTTCAACCAAGAGCTGGTCATGCTCTTCTGCGTGGCCTGTGAAATGGAGTGATATCCTAGGAAGAGTAGTCTTAGAACAGTGCAAACCCCAGTTCAGTCCTTTGATTCAGTGGCCAAAGAAACTGCTGCTTTTATTCAGATCCAAGTGAAGTGATCAGATCTGATCTTTATAAAACCACGAGTGGACAGTTGTCAGCAGTTTATGGGCTACTTTGGCCCTGTTCCATGAATAGTGGGGTGGGAGGATCCACAGATCCACACCCCAGAAAGGGAAAAGGGAAAGGATAGAAAGATGGGCCTAAAAACAAAACAGCAGCAATGATCTGAGGAGAAACAAACTAATTTAGTAAATAAGATATCGGAATGCAAGATAACACACTATAATACAATATAACACAATATAATAAGAATTGAAACTCATTAATGAAATAAAATGAGAGTGTCCGAAAGGCAAAGGCCTTACTCTAATGGTGTGATGAGACAGCACCCACAACAGAGACAAGCCAAATGATTAAAAAGAGGGGCTTTCAGGTGACTTACAAAGGCCTTTGATCTTATCCCCCTAAGCCAAAATGATAACAGAACAGCAAACAGTCCTCTGGGGAATGTAGTAGTTCTTCTCTTCTGGGACAGGTACCCAGAACTGGAGTATTAACTCTTTAACTCCCAGTGAACTGCATGATGTGGAATACCAACAACTAAACATCATAAAACCATGACATTCCACCCCTTATTCTACATCACTACATCATGCTCAATATATGCAAACAAAAAGCAATAATTAACAAGCATTACATACACTCACACACACATGAGTATATATACATGAAATTGCTGACTGCACTCCCCCAACATCAAATTCCCTTGAGGTACACACTGAACATCCCCGTTTCTCTGCATCACCCACCAAGTGGACCCAGGTCCCAGGGCAAAAACAGTTCCACGCAGAGGTTTGCCCTTCCCAGAACCTGGAAAGACCCAAACCGCTTTTCCCAACACGTTCTTCACATGTACTACAGGAACCTTATCTCCCTTGACAGTATGTAGGGAGCCAGCAGGACCATCGCGACTGATTGATCCTCTGGTATTGACCAACCAGGTGGCTTCTGCCAAATGCTTCTCCCAGTGCTTAAATGTTCCGCCACCCAGTGCTTTTAGCATCGTTTTTAACAATCCATTGTAGCGTTCAATTTTACCAGAGGCTGGTGCATGATAGGGAATATGGTAAATCCACTCAATGCCATGATCTTTGGCCCAAGTATTTACAAGAGAATTTTTGAAATGAGTCCCATTATCTGACTCAATCCTTTCTGGGGTGCCATGTCGCCACAGGACTTGTTTCTCGAGACCTAATATGGTGTTTCGGGCGGTAGCATGGGGTACTGCATGTGTTTCAAGCCACCCAGTGGTTGCCTCCACCATAGTAAGCACATAATGCTTACCATTGCGAGATCGTGGCAAGGTGATAGAATCAACCTGCCATGCCTCCCATATTTGTACTTTTGCCATCGCCCTTCCTCCCAGAGAGGTTTCATCCTCTTGGCTTGTTTGATGATGGCACATGTTTCACAGTCATTGATAACCTGTGCAATGGCATCCATAGTTAAGTCCACCCCTCGGTCTCTAGCCCATTTGTATGTTGCATCTTTTCCTTGGTGGCCAGATGATCGAAAATAGGGACCATCAGGTGACCTACAACGGCCTTTTATCTTTTCCCACTAAGCGGAAATGATAACAGAACAGCAAACAGTCCTCTGGGGGATGTAGTAGTTCTCTTCCTGGACAGGTGCCTGGACCTGGAGCATTAAGTATTTAACTCCCAGTGCACTACATGATGTTATGGTCTGGAATACCGATTACCAAAAATCATAATACCATGACAACAGTTTGAGTCACCTTGCTGGTGAGTGAATGTTTCTGAGCCTTTTGTGGCACCAACTGACCCAGGTGGAAGCCAGCCTTAGTCAGTGATATTAATTCTGCAGGGGCAGTGGAGCAGATCTCATCCTTGGGCATGGATGTGAAAGGACAGGGACACAAGCTTGTAGCAGATGCTGAAGCTCATTGCTCAGCAGACTACTGGAAAGCTCTTGAATGCCATGAGAGCCAAATGTATCCCTAATCCTAGGGGAAAACTGGCTTTCTGCAAGCTAAATGAGTGTTCAGCACAGCCAGCTGCTGCCCAACGAAGTGCATTTGAATCCCAGCTACATGCATGTAGTGGACATGGATAACTTATCCCAGTGGGCTGATTTCCTGCATTATAGCATGAGCAAGGAACTGAGCCCTTCTTCCTGCTCCCGTATGGAGCACAGAGCAGGCCTAAGGGCATGTGGGGCGGTAGCCTGTGGGTCCAGGTGCCTTCACTGAGTACCAGGACCAAAGCTAAGTGTAGAGTTCCAGTTGGGTATTGCTTGGCTTTTTCATTGTCAGTGGCTTCTTGTTTTCTAGGTGTTTCTGTAACTTCAAGTAACACAGGTGTGCCTGATATCAGTGGCTCTGTCTATAACAAGACTCAGGTGAGAATTGCTGGATCCTCCTTCCTGTTGGTCTGAGACCAGGCTGGTGGCTCCTTGCTTATGGGTGTGATGGCACTCTGCTGGATCTGTGGCAGCTGGGGGCAGTTTCTAAACCAGTTGGTCTTGGGGTCAGCAGACTTGAGCTTTTCTTATACTGGCTCTGCATGCTGCTAGAGAGGAGTCTTGTTCTCCATCCTGCTGCTTTTGCCTCATCAGTTCCTGGCCAAAGCTGCTGTCACAGATGCAGAGCTCCCTGCACTGTCACATGCTGCTTCATGTATGCTGTGCCCTGAGCACAAATAAAATGTGATAGCACCAGTGTTTTTAGAAAGTAGCCCTCAAAGCAGATGAGTTAAGATGTTTGCTTTTCTCCAGCTAGACCAGTCAGTAGCACCCACTGCTATACCTGAGGATCTCTCTGATGGGTACCAGCACCCCTCTGCTTCACCTCTGTCTATTATTTTGTGTACAGGTTCCCAAAGAGAGTAGAAAGCACTTCAAGCTGTGTTGTGCAGTGGGGTTACATCCAGCTCCTTTCCTTATCCTTGAATCTTCTGTCAGGGCAGTCAGACTCATTGTGTGTCTGACTGTGATCTGTGCCCATGGGTAGGACGCCAGCTCTCAGTTACATGCATAGCATTAGCTTTGGCCTGGGGAAAAAAAACAGTGCAATTTCTTCTTGTCTTTTTGTTGAGCTGCTCTGAGGTCAAGTACACAAGATGTGAAGGATGGATTTCAAGCAGCTGCTGCTAACCCATATCCCACTAAGTAAAAAGAGGTCAGGGAAAAAAAGGAAAACAGTAGTCAATGAAGTAAAACAATTTTAAAAGTTATGATCATTAGAGCAGAAATAAGGATGAAAATGAGTTGAAACTCACTCATCTACTAAATTGCTCACAGATGTTCAGTCTGACTTGCTCATGGGATTGACAAAAGGTACAGGAATCTGTGTTCAGGTCATTCTTGTTTGGTTGCTGTGGGGCTGTTCCCACTGGTCATTGATGTTTCCCATTACTTCCTGTGCAGACGTTTGATAAGCAGGGATTCCATGCTGGCACACCACCTCCTTTCAGCATGCCCTCTGCTCTTGGATCTACTGGGCCCCTGAACCCTGGTGCTGCCCCAGGTTATGCTCCAGCTCCTTTTCTCCATATCCTGCCTGCACATCAGCAGCCTCATTCACAGATGTTGCATCATCATCTTCAGCAAGATGGGCAGGTGAGTCAGCCCTTGCTGCCTTCACAAAGTGAGATTGTTCCCACCTACCTCCTAGAATGGGATTTTTGGTTTGTGTGTGGTGTTTTTTTTAATTTTTTTTTCTTTGTTCAAGTGCCTTGGCAGGATTGCAGACTACATGCTGTTTACCAGCTAGGGGAGGGCTGTGGGGTAGGTCCTGCTTGGAAGATGCTATTGTAATGTAGGGTGCAGGGGATGTGAAGCTGAGACAGGTGCTGCTGATCCCTGGACATGAGCACTGTGATTGGGGGGAAAAAATACAAGCAACCCCTTGCAAAGATTGCATGTCAGCTCCCATTTCTGATTTGATTTCACCAACAAATGTGTTTCCTTTCCTCACTATAAAATGTTCACTGAAAGGAGAAAAAAAATGTTATGCTTTGGAGTCCAGAAATAGAAAATGACTGTTCTCTCTTTTATATACTTGACTGGTGTACTGTCTCTGTTCACACTGAGAGTGCTCCTTTCCTTCCTGCAGCTCTACTGTTTTACTTCTTGTGGTCTGATGCTGTTTTACAACACAGAGAAGCTAACCTTGAGAGAGATTAAACATTTGTTTAATTTGTTTGTTTTTTTGGGGGGGAGGTTACAACTCAACTCTAGCATCTCCCAGTGTTATTATTCCAGCTGTGTCCTTCTGCAGTGAAGGAATGATAGCATCCAGAGTGGCGACACTTGGCTGGGAATGGGGCTGGGTGGGTGTATCCCTGGGTTCCTGCTTGATGTCTTTGTTGGCCACTGGCTCATAAGATGTCAGATCTGGGTCTGATGAGCTGTATTAGGGGATGCTGGGGAGCAGCAGCTCTCTTGGTACTGTACTGATGAGCTTGTCTTCCATCTTCCTGGGGGCCTGTAGGTTCTATGGGTCCTGCAGTACGGTAGCAGTTGATGCTGATGGTTTGCTTTCTTTTGGTTTGCTAGGGTGGATCCAGCCAGCGCAACCAGCCCAGCACCATGCAGCAAAAGTCTCAGGCTACCAAAACTGCCTATGGCACTTCTCCATACTGGACTAACTAAATGTGAAAGGAGAAGAGAGGAAAGAAAAAAAAAAAAAATACTGAAGCCCAAACCCATTCCTGAAATTAGTAGAAGTAACTGGTCAGCCAACCATCTGTGTGGGGAGAATTGTAGCCAGCCATCCTCTGTGTGACTAGCCTGCTTCCTCTTTGAGTTGCTGTTGTATGTAATATATTTATGTATTTGTAAATGTAACAGAGCCTAAATGTGGTTTTCTGCATCTTGAAGCCTGTTTTATTTTCTTTGTAGGAAGACTAATTATTCACTTCCTGTATACACCAAGGCCTCCTTCCTTGTTTTTCAAGCTTTATGGGCATTATGACTGTGCCATTTTTATTGGAGCTATTTATTTAGTGCAATTCTAAATTCAGGCAAATACGGAGGCCTGGCTTTTAAAAGAGAATCAAGATGTATCCTGTTTGTTTGACTTCTGCCCCCACCCACCAGTATAGCTGTTATTTTGCAGATGAACTCAGGGGCGGTTAGGTCACCTCTTTATTTTTTAATTTTTAAATAAATAATAAGAAAAAACTTTTGGTTTTGGTTTTGTTTCTCAAGCAAGAGACTTTGAATGGCTCATTGGGTCCTGGACCCTCCTTTGCATCATCAAAGGCAAAAACTATGTAAGACTGTCTTAAAACTATAAGCTATTTCTTGTACCTCTTCTTGGCCTGAGCCACCCTGCCCAGGATTGACAGAGTGGCTGGATGAAAACTTCACCTGTTCTTCCTTTTTTAAAACAAAGGCCAGAGAAGCAACTCCTGGTACTTGTGTTATGTACCAGTGCAGTGAACGTTTTAGGAGTTTCTTTTTAGCCCTTCCCCTTATCTAATAAAAGATATGAGCATATCACGTGTTTGTCTGCTTTTCAAAGGCTCAAGGAACAGTTTTGCTTGTACAGCTTGTCCTTTTCTACCTCATCCCGCAGCAACCAGAGTAAAGCTCAGCAGGAAGGGGGTGCTGTGGAACAGGACAAAGGGGAAGGAAGGGGTCTGACGGAGGGCCTGGGGCAAAGACAGAGTACACTGCCACCTGCCATGAGCTGCTGCTGTCTACCTCTGGTGCCCTCCATCATCACGCTCTATCTTAGTCTCAGCAGCAGCAGCGAATTTAGGTAAGGAGGAAATGAATCTGAAGTATCACCCAGTGTTACTGTGCTGTACAATCAATGAATATACAGATGACATAATATATTAGAAAGCTTGGCTTACGTAATTAATATACTAGAGCAGAAAAGGACACTCACCCTATCCTGGGCTCACATAAGAAACTCCAGTGGAGTGGATCTCCAAAAGAACTCCTTCCCACTAGTAGTCAGCACTCAAATGGGTCTAGGAGAGGTGCAGCCAGGCTCCACCCCTTCCAGCAGCACAGCTGAATTGCCTTCACCTGTGCTCCGTAGCTGACTAATTGCTTGCCTCAGGTGATCAATCAGAGGTTCAGGCCATGATTCAGCATTTCCCATACATGTGCCTATGAGAAAGTGCTGCTTCTATGTGCAAGTGCTGAGAGGAAGGTCAGAGATGAAGGCTTCCTCCCAAGGGATGGATCCTGCCCCAGGTTCAACTTTGGGAGTCTGGCAGTTCATGGCAGCAGAGAAGGTGGTAAATGTGAAGCCATATTTGGACAAGCAGCAGATACAAGCTGGTTTTTTGTATTGCTTTTTAAACACTTTGCTGTTACTGTTACTGTAGTTAACAAAATACGCAAGTTAGAGATGTAGTCAATGAAATACGTAAAGCGGGGGCTGTCAAGGTCACCAGGCGTAATAGGATCTGCGGAGGCCCCTTGTGTGGTTAATGGAATATGTAAAAGGAGGGCTGTGGAAGATATCAGGCTCTGCGGGGGCTCCTTGACTCATGAGAAACCATGATGAGACATGGCAAGACAAGACATGCCACACGTCTATTGGGCACAGATAACCGTAGCAAGGGTGATTGGTAGCACTGTGATATAAGGGAGAGCTATAAGAAGAGTGTGTTGCTTGCAATAAATGCCATTTTGCCGCTCACCACATTGGTGTGCTGAATAGCGAACAAATGGATCAGGCCTAGCACGGGACCAACTTGGTCAGGCACTGGGCCTGAGGCTGTCAGGCCACTGCGGGCCGGGCGGACCACAACTTAAGTTACCGTGAGAAACTGCGACATGTTACAATATTGACAAGAGTGACAACTTCTTACTGTGAGAACCACTTTTTCTCTCTCTCATTTGAGTTATTAATTGTAACTCTCTTATTATCATCTTACATTATTTTACCATTTATAGTAAATTTGTTATCTGTCGTTATCTTAATTGGGTCATCTTACTTTCCTTCTCTCCAAAAGAGGAGAAAGGGGCCCCCTTGCCCTCCTTGCCCTGTCATGCTTGAAATCATGACAGATAGTGGTGCCCAATGTGGGGCGCAACAACTGATTTAGATAAGAGATCTGCCAATAGCGTATTAGAACTTTTATTAAAATTTTTGGCCCAGTGCTAATTTTTGAGAAACTTTTGCCACTGAGCCAATATTCCCAAAAGGTTTTGGCATTGTACCAACTTGCTGTTTTCCACCTAAAAAACAATAAATTATTGTTTTTCTGTTTAAAAATGTTCTTTAGGGGGCTTCACACAACTGTACTCCAGATTGTGGTTCTTAAAACCTATTGGTTCCTTTTTAAGATAGTCAAAATACTTGTTGGGTTTGCATGCACGTAACGCTATAACACAGTGGAAAGCACAATAATAGCAGGCTGACAAAGCCCTAGGCTGCAGCATGTCAGAATAAGCCCAAGTGCACCAGCTGCAGATGCAGAAACAAAAGAAAAAAGCTACTTACCTGTGGGAATACAAGAAAGAATATTCAGAATATTCAGAGCAGAAGCGGTGGAGCAAGATAGATGGCATGAGAAAGCAAGGCTGAGAACCAAGGAAGGCTCCAGGAGAGAAAAACAGAAGCCAAATCAGCTGCGTGATGGCCGCATGATAATGACCCTGATTGGAGAAAGGGTGTGTGGCTAGGAAGGACTGGTGTCTGATTCAATAAGTGCATGCATGCACAGCTGAGGAGTGTGCGTGGAATGTTTTGTTGACATGTAAAGGGCGGTGGGAAAGTTACAAGAGAAAGCTATGGAATATTGTCATGGTTTTGTAATTTTTGGCTTTCGGTATTCCACATCATAACATCATGTGGGGCACTGGGACTTTCACTGTCAGTGCTCAAGTCCTGGGTACCTGCCCAGAAGAGAAGAAGAACTACATTCCCCAGGGGACCTTGCGGTCAGGGAGAGGAGGTTTAACTCCTGGCAAGGTCACTTGAGTTCTCTTTCTCGCCTGCCCTTCGTCGTGGGCGCTGCTCCCGTCTCCCTGCTGCTCAACTGCACTGCGCATCTCACCTCAGCGTTGTGCTGAGGCCTATCCACCTTTCGGACATTCTCTCTCTCTCATTATATTTGATTTATTAGCTTCAATTCTGATTATATTGTATTATAGTGTGTTCTCTTGCATTCCGATAATATACTTAGTAAATTACTTTGTTTATCCTCAGATCGGTGCCGCTGTTTTTAATTATTTTGGGGTCCCCTGTTTCCTTTTTTTTCCAGAGGCGTGGATCTGTGGATTCCCTCCACCCCGCTCGTCACGGAACCGGGCCGAACCAGCCCCTAAACCGTTGACAAATATATATAAGGAATGTTAGAACCTGCAATAAACAATTTGGATTGCTCACATAACAGAATGTACTTCATACACTGCACTTACTCTTGAAAAGCCTCAGGAATGCAGCAATCTCCAGCAAAATAGCCTTACTTCCACTGCCAACCCTTAAATGAGGTCTGGGAAGGAGTGGATCCTGGCTCCACCCCTTCCAGTCACTCAGGTGCATTGCATGCACCTGAGCACCCCTTGGTTGGCTCTGCCTTCCCACCAGGTGCTCCATAACTGCTTCAAGCTCTGACTTAGCATTTCTGCTGCAATGCATGTTCAAAAAATTAGGCTCACTAAAAGTGAGTCTGTGTGGTACTTGGATGTAAGGGGACATAATTCAGGCATGACAGCTGACAGTCCAGAGTTGTAGCAGTCCTCTGGGATGGAAAATACTAAACATCTTAAATATCATTTTCCATTTCCTCTCTCCCCATTTTTGGACTGCCTGGACAATTACCACTGAATGTGATTGGCATTATTTTTAATACCTTATTCTCCCTTTGTACCTACCAGAATCAGAGGGAACCTGAACCCCAAGGCTGGAAAAAACAAAGAGTACTGAATGGCAGGGGATGTGGGAGAATTTGAGAGAGAGTTTAAAGGAGTGGGCACCCTCGGTGTCATGGAACATTACTTCTGAAAACCTGCAGAACCCTGAGAGTTTAGGCAGGTACTTAAGGGAGGAAGGGTGCAGTTCTGGCAAATTTAGGGAGGCACAAATTATTTGGGGTTTGGCAAATGCCTACCAAGCTCTTTTTAACACTATACAATAGGAGAGTGAGGAAGAAGATATTCCCAGAGCTGAGACTACTCAGACAGAAAGAAAACCCATATCAGTATCAGTTGTTCCCGTGGAAGGAAATAAATGGTGACAAATGACATCTCGCTTAGAACAGACAGAAGAAGAAGGGGAAGAAAAAGAGGAAGAAGATGCAGGGGAGGGGCCTTCAACTAGATTTGGTAAAGAGACCCACTAAGAGAAAACTGATGGAAAGATGTGAAGATGATGATATGGTACCCAAGATAAACAACTAGACTAACGAGGAAGCGGGTATCAGTACTTAAGAGAACTGGCTGTAGTGGAGATGGTGTACAATGACAATTTCGATCCTAATGACCTGCATGACTTTCATGACCCCAACAATGTATGGTGTTCACTAATTATGTGGAGAAAACTGACACAAGCTGCACCAGTAATGTTTGCCAGTATACTAAGAGCAAAGAAATAGAAAGTGGGTGAATGACTTCAGGTGGATGAGCTAAGTTCTGATGTTTGGGACCATCAAGACAATATCGCAAATATGGCCTCAAACTTACAGGATGTTATAGCAACTATGAAAAGTTGGTCCACAGATGTCCTAGAATTAAAAAATACACTTAACTACCCACAGGTATTAGCCAATATTAACCAATTTTAGTTGTTAAGAGTAGAATCCCTCCTACTGAAGCAGGAAATAGTAGTTGACTTGCACCTTGCAATACCTTATGGTTTTACCTATGTGATTCTGGTGAGGATATGGAGAGGTGGGATGGAAAACCTACCTCGGTCCCATGGGTCCAGGTAAAAGAGTCACAAGACCGTTCCTGTGCCTACTGATAATTAGAAGGGTCCTGCCTCCAATTGGGAGGGGGTTGCAAGGCACAACCGAATGTACTGATGTCAAAGGTTTATAGACTGATTTAGCCTGGTTCCGTAATGAGAGGGTAAGAGGGACCCTCAGATACACACCTCTGTAAAGGGGAAACAGGATAAAGGGAAAAAGGGGAGATAGATGTTGCCCCAAAACAAAACAGCAGCAACAATCCAAGGAGAAACAAACAAACTTACAAAATGTCAT